AAATAAAGCATTGACCTTTGATCAATTTGTGTAGGTATCATAGTATCGGTAGAGTGACTTGGTAAGAGCTAGTCTTAGATGCACACGTATTCGAACCTCACATGCCTGTAGAGCCTTCTAGAATACTCATTCTATGTATATTATAATAACTACTAATAAGTTTTAGAATACTCCATGATAGATTATATACTGTATATCACCGTTGCTGTCATATTTTATTAGTTCGCACTTATAAGTCTTAATAAAGTTCTATACTTTGCTAATATGCTATCTCTACATTTGCCCGAGAACTTCTTACAGTAGGTAAATTTTGATTGACAACGTCATAAAAATTGTGGGTAAGAAATATCATTTACAATACTGTAAATCAGCTAACTCAGAATCATTGATATGAAAAATTACTACACGATTTCAGTTAAACCTTTTAGCAAAATATTAATTATAACATAATTTAAGGTTAAAGACTATGAATGCTACGATACTATCTATAGCAGTAATCAAACGCTACATTACTAATTCATTTTATACAAATTCAACTTAGATTGCATTAACTAGTATTTAGGAAAAATTCTATAATGTACTATGCGATACCGCTTGTACAGAAAGTACTATTAATCTCCTGCATAATCTTTACACATATGAATTTAAAAGTACTACCTAATAGTAGTAGCACCTATCACTTTCTACACTAGGCATCATTATCAACATTTAAACGGGATCTCAAATTTATACAACCGTAAGTTAAAACACCTTATACATTTAATAGCTTGATTAATTTAAGACTAAATATTAAGCAAAGCTGCGAATAAAAAGTTAGGATTTAAATTTATCAACTCAGAAGTTATAAGAAAATAGGTGTCACCATTATTTAAAATCAAACAATCTACTGTAACCTGGTTGAAACAATGGTATGAATAAAACTACTTACAATATACTAACCAACATAGAACAATACGACAATCATGTCAAGCTGTTATTTAAGTCATATCATATTTTAGCTATGTCAGTTGAAAGTGAAATGAGCAAATAGACATAAACTTTCAATATTCGAAAAACTATCAACTTTTATTTACTTAACTTGTCACCAACAGATCCAGAGCTGATTATTTCGTGTAAAATAACTGTATAGATACAATAATCTATTTATCATCTAACTGAATATCATCATTGATATTTCTAATAAAAAATAAAGAAGTGAGGATGATAAATAAGCGAATCTAATGCCTTAAATGTAATGTTTTATCGTCTACCGAATCTGAAAGAAGTTTTATTGTAAGAAGTAAGATTTTGACTTAAAGATATTTTCATTCGATTTTTTATTAAGTTCCATTTTCTGTAACTTTTTCACTATTAGTAACTTCTAGATGAAAGTACATTTAATAGCTTACTTACTTACTTAATACTTCGTGAGTTAATATTAATATAGATGCTATCAATTCAAATTGACATTATCGTGGCGCTTTACTTTTAAGAAAAAATAATGTTCGATAAAATCGAAGTCCTCACAACTAGATAGTCAAACCGAAAGATATAGTGAAAAATATATATTTTTATTCTATTTCATCCTTAGGTAGTTCTGTAAATGATTTACTGTATCAATTTTATAATTCGGTATCAAATTACCAATGTATTCTTATGAAGTCGTTCTCTTTTCTAATGATTAGGGATCTTGATATTCTTTAATGGCATTTAATTAAAATTTTGCTAGGATAGTCAGTAACTTTACTGCTACGCTACGGATTGTTCTAGGTAATATACTTTACGCTTCCTATCATTGCTCGGCAATTACTTAAAAATGGATATAGCTCCAGCTGATTTTTAATGTTCTAAAGTCGTATCTCAAGGAGCGGAGTTTCACAACGTGACTCTTTATCTAACCAATAACAGCTAATCAACTATTTCACGACTCACAATTAGCTTTTAATGACCCGATATCATTGTAAAGCTTCAAAATATTTTAATAAATAATTTATTAGGATCATAGGCTACCGTAGTAGTATCTTTCCCTTCTTGATAGGCAACTAAGCTGGCTGTGGTTAAAACATTGGTAGCTAGATATTTTAATACATTCCGAAAATTTTACTTAATCATTTTTATGTAGAAAAATTACTCGCGCTCTGCTACTGTATAAGTATTCATATTTTTTACCTGATTATTAAGTGAAATTTACAGCAGCTGTCAAAGAATAAAACTGATATTGTTGCCTAGGTAATGCTTATGATTTGTTGCACTATTCCATGCACCCAATGCTCCGTCTATAATCTTATGTAACTGAAATTAGAATTTTTACTTGTTCCTCGTCGCCTTTTGGTTTATTTTCGACATAAAATACTTTCTGTCCGCCAGGAATTTTATTTGATACCTTCATTGATAATATAAAATTAATCATTCAAAGAATAAAAGACTACTTCCCGTTATATTGATGCAGCTGATGAAAGAAGAAGAAAATATAAAATATACAGTATTATAACCATAGATTCCACACCGACAACGTAATGTTTCTCGTCGTTAAAAATAATTGAATTCTTTATTTTATCCTTAAATAATTTAGTGCTTGCAGTTATATATGGTAGCAAAGTAAGCCATCTAACTATTATCATCTTTCGCTCCCATTTCGATCATTTTTTTGCGGGAACAATAAGCTAGTAAGGAAAATTTAGATGAAAGCCTTAAGATATCCGTATTTCCAGTTGAAATTATTGTAAATCTAGAAATTATCAAATTTCAATATCCTGGACCTGCTTTTATTTTCGAAAATTATTCTAAGTATCAGTTAGTTACTAACATTTATTACATTCGTGAAGTAATTCATTTACTATTACTAATCAAAATATATTATATGCAGTGCTGTAGCTGTTACTTTAAGTTTAAAGAATCATAGTACACGAATATTCTCTACCATAATTATCTTGAAAAGTGTTAATAGAATTGCAAATTGAGGACCAATTAGTGCGGCCTGATTCTGTCTATTGTATCAATTATAAATACTTTCAATACCATACGATAAAATTATTTTGCAGCAGTAGGGTACACTGATATTGATATAATAATTTATTTCCATTAACGAACATTAAATCAATGAACAAATTTATATTAAGTCAAACATTTACTAATGATCAAAGATTCTAAGACGTTCATAGAAAGAAGCTCATAGAGCAATTATCAATTCTATGTGTACAGTTACAGTAAAATTTATATAATTATTATATTTAAAAGGCTTAGAAGTTGGTATTGTTTTATATCTTTCTAAACAGTTGCATTGCAAATTCCAATTTTTCGACTATCGTACTTCTTTTTACACATACCTTAAGTATCTCTAGCTTATGAAGATTTTTTAAATAACTTTTTAAAGCGATGTGGTTTTAAGTGGTTTGCGTTAACTGTTATAATTTTAACGATCCAATTTAGCAATTTAAAGCAAAGGATCTGAGACACAAAAAATGTTAAAATATTATGCTGTAGATTGACACTATCAGCAAATAGTAAACAATTTATTGGTAGTTATATAGATAAATGAGTGAATAATCAAAATTCACTTCTTAGAACACTACATTATGCTGCTTATTAGCAATGCTTATTATTTTTTAAGATAATAACCAATAAAAGCATCCTTGGTTTTTCATTTATTAGCTTCGCATAGAGTTTATAGCTCTATTCTTCCCGCCTACCCTACAGTAAAATTAAATATGTCGTATATTTGCAACTTCAGTAATTGTAAATATATTTTTAGTAAGAATTTTATCACATTCGCCAGCTCATAAAGGTTATAAGCTTTAATAAGCTTGAAATTGATAGCTTATTTATAAGCTTAAAAGTTCATATTTTTATAAAATTAAATTGATTTGCGACGCTATTGCAATTATAGCATGAATCTACGCAAAATACGTGTTAGTAAAGTAAGTACGACCGTAACTCAGCAATAGCTTGCTTTACATTTACTCAGACTTATATAAGAGCAAAAATTACGCGAAAATAGGCAGTTTTAGTGCCTAAAAGTAGTCTAGAATATTATTCTAGTTAATGCCTGATAGCCAGAAAAATATGAAAATTTATTGATCAATAACGCCATTATTCATTGCAAATCAAATCTTATATTGCTGTATTTTCGGAAATGCATTATCGTAAGTTGTACATTAGATATAACATATACGTTAAGATAGGCCGGCTTAACATTTATCCAGTGAGAACCGAAGAGAATTGCTTACAACAGTATAATATTTTGCAAATCTTAGTTGCGAGAGTTGATACGTAAATCTGCTAGTGATATCGCTATTTGATAGCAGAAGCTCATGTCCGTAATGGAAGGAGTAAACTTATTCTACCTGAAACGATGTTATATTTTTATTATCTTTCTGAATTTATTCCTTAGCAAAACCAATAGATTGTAATCATCGCATTCTGGATGAAATTGATCTTTTATTATGTTTGATTATGCTGCATTTTAAGACGATAAAAAATTTCTATCAACTATCGTCTTTGCGGCGATGCAATTTCAAATCTATATATATATATGTTATATATATACTATTGGGATGTACGTATCCTTTTACAGTACTATGCATGAAATTTGCAGAGCAAAATATCTGCTATTACAATTTAATTAACGTCTGCTATTGAAGAAACACAAGATGCAGATTAGCAGATAAAATTATTTTATTGTAATATGATTATAATGTAATTTTATATATGACAGTTAAATCTTTAAATTAGTGTAGATTCCGATGGAAATAATTGCTCTTCTTTAATTTCCTTAATACGTATAGCAAATACTCGTATTAGTCCTTGGAGCAAGCGAATGTGCTGTAGCTAAAAAATACAAGAAACGTTAAGATTGCAGAAACTGTACTTCCTCATCATTTCATTATTAGCATATAACTCCAGCAATACAATTTGAATTTATTCTCAAAAGATAATGAAGAGAAGAACGGCTAGCTAACATTACTTACGTAGTTACGGAGCTAAACCAGCCAACATTTATTTTAACTTACAAGCCATCATTGTTACGATATTTGCCCATCATTGTTATATATTTTGTTGGTTAGTATCGTTATTTCATCATCTTTCACCGTGTCCTGGGCAGATCTTGTATACTTGATTACAGCTTTCGTCCCTTCATTAACAGCATTCTTTGCTAATTCGCTAGGTAGGAGGAAGCGGACAGCTGTTTGTATTTCTCGACTTGTGATCGTTGATCTTCTATTATACTTGGTTAGGTTGGAGGCTTCTTTAGTCGGTCGATAGAAAAGATCATAAATGAATGAATTCATAATATTCATGGCTTTCGATGAAATACCAGTATCTGGATGAACTTGCTTGAGAATTTTATATCGATAATTAGCAAGAGTTATTTTATGTTTTTTGGGTTTGCGAGTTTTGACTTTTTGATTCTTGTTGTCAAGATTTTTTGCTGATATCAGATGGTTTCTTCTCTTTTTAGTTCCCATTGATTTATATATGAATTTGTCAGCAATGCTAGTAGATTGAACAAAGATGATGGAGAGAGCAACTATGGTAAGCTGTATTCCAAATACTGATAATTACTAATTATATTTATTATCACCATTTCAGTAAATAAGAAGCATTAGCTTAGGTCCCTATCTATACTCCTTTATTTACGTATGGACATCGATGAATGCGGTACAACTATTTAATTAAATATACTCTAAGCTGGACTCTGTTCGTCTCTACTGAGCATCAAGCAACAGAATTCATATATCTACTACGAAAAATAGATATAGCACAATGGTGCACACCGCATAATAGGCTTGATTTATCTACTACGAGCAACGGTGAAAGTCGCTTTGTAAAGCACTATGATAGCTACCGAATTCAGTAATATTTTTCGTTAGAATAGATTAATACCAGTATTATTCTACTTACACTTATTTAAGTATTCAAAGTTAAATATAATAAAAGGCAATAAATATCAACATGTGAACATCGCTATACGAAATAGGTACGGTAGATAATGCATAAAATGCATTTGTTACATCTTATAATGCAATGCATATTGGCATAAGAACTATTAATAGCTAATACTAAATTAAATTATAAGTACAATAATGCTTAAGTCAGTAAGAGTAATAGGGTATAAAATATTTCTCATTAATTTCACCTCATTCCTGCAATTTATCTAATTGAAGACTCATAATAATGATTCAATGCAATGATGGTTAAAACAGCGCAGATAGCATAATATTTAGTATAAATCAAACATTGGCTTTCTAGGTTTGGTATTAGTATTAGCCTACTGTGTCGTTATAATTTTGAGAATAGCTATAACTCACCATACAGTATCAGAGATTGTTAAACTAGAACACTAGCTAAGATAGGCTAATGGAATTGAATTTTGATCTTCAAATAGCAATCGTAATGATCAGTGTAGACACTTCTAGCACAAATATCTAATTTAGCTTATTAAAGTAGGCATAATTTATCAGTAACTTTTGGATATTTTCTGCCAAAAAGCTCATAAATGTTGAAATAAAATTTAAAAGTACAGTTGTAAGGAATGCAATATCTACTCATAAGTATCTAACTTAAAATGAATCAATTTTGTTGATCAGTATCATCATTAATACCTATATTATATTTCCTTAAAGCAGCCTACTTAAAGTCCTTCGTAGCACAATATCTATTTCTGTGTAACATATTTAAAGGGGGTCAATTTTTTCCATCATTTCGACAGAATCAAGATATCGAAAGTTTTGACGACTGACATAATCATCGCAAGTAGTTACCACGGTTGTAACTCCTACTTTATGAGATGTTTTTGCGTTTAAGGAAGTTGAACTATTACAACTTTGTCGAAAAGTTATTTTCATATCTTGACGAAATTTACGATTCATCAAGCTATAAATTAGTGGACTATGGGCGCAAGCCATCACACTAAATTTATATGTAAAATAGAGCAAGTATCGAAGATAGAGTGGTAATGTAATGATAACATTGGACAATGTCGAATTAAATACAGTCGCTATTACGTAGACAAAAATATGGGGAAGTGTAAAAATTATTGCTATAGTGGTAGTAACTATAAGCATTTTCAGAACATCTTTTTTCTTATTCTCTTCATCCTTGCTATACTTTGCTGAAAGAGATGACGAGACACGCCACTTTCGGTGTATAAACAAAACAACTTTAATATACAAAATGACAATGATTAAAGACGGTAAAAATGTGGAGAATAAACAACTAATGCTATAAAGAACAAGATTAGCCGTATTAATAATTTGGCCCATCTCGCAAATATACGGCAGTCGCGAATCAATTGTGATAATCCACGGATAAGGAAGCGCTAAAGTCATACCAGCTATCCAAATTGAGCTCAAAACAATTGATAAAGCTTTTTTTCGACGGAAAAAAGGTGGACATTGATCTAAAGACGCCTGAACGATGGTATTAAAACGATCGTAACTAATTGCTGTTAAGCTTAAACTTGATACCCCATGAAATGCGGTAATAAGATAGGATAGCACCCGACAAGTAATTGGCCATGATGATAATGAAGCATTGAATAGCCAACTGAGGATACTAGCGATAGAGTAAGCCAATGATGCCACCAAAGTAATGAGATCAGATATAGCCATATTCGCCATCAAGATATAGGTTGGTGTATAATATTTATCCCAGGTATAGATAGTACGAAATACAAGCGAATTGCCCAAAATACCTAAAAATGAAATAAAAAGGCTAATAAGATCATCGAAATTCGCATACATTGAGAATATAACATAATAAATTTATAATAATTATCAACAGACATTGAAAGATACAGTATTTCTCGTACCTAAAATAGTTGGAACGATGAAAATACCATTAAATAGAGAGATATTCTCGGTAAAGGTACTCATGTGTTGAGGATTTGTAGTATTGTTCGATTCCATAGCTGCCTGAAATTACGGTCTGACGAAATATTTCCAAACTCTGATCCAAATCAACTTTCTATATGAGTCTGTATTCAATCACAACTGAAATATATTTAAGCTTTGAATAATCTATTTCCTTCAATCTAATAAATTATAACGAACAATATTAACAACAGTATATGATAACCATTTATAAAACTGTAATTATGGTACCCGTGAGAATCTATCAGTAAAAGTAATGTGCTTTAAAGATTTTAAGAACGACTTTATAGAATGATAGCTTTAGAAAGCGGTGTTTGCTATTTCTTTAAGGCTGTAATTACAGTCCAACATCAAAATCTACTGGCGTTAATAATTACTCTACAAATTTATATATCAATTTTAAGTATTAATTACTACAGAAAGTAGCAGCAACTTTTAAATTGTTTACGACACATAAATATACGGTAGTTAGTTGTTTTTCGTAAATATTTCAACTACAATATAGATTTTGTATTGTTTCATAGCAATTACAATAGATCGTTATTAATGCATGGATAAGTAATTTAAATATAGGTATATGTCAATAACGCTTTCAAACGACATAATTATGAGCAAAGTTTAAATCTATGGAATACAATTTAAACTGATATAATTTATAGTGATTTAGATGTAACGATTTGATTTGATAATTAATCAATTATTAATGTATTGCCAATTTTTAAAATGGTAATTATTCGATAGTAATTGATAATGTTAGAAAAACCGGGCTAAATATCTTAATGATTTATTTACTTAAGATTTCCTCATTTTAAGAAAATAGTTAAAAGCCTTAATACTAAGGACAACAACCCTTTTTCTATATGCCAAATTTCATATCGTTAAGCTATTGATCCTGTTAGTTACGTATCAACAATATTCACTATTTTTTTCTTTGTTGCAATGTTAAATGAACCAGCTAATTTTTAATTACTTGTCAAGCAAGGTTTTCGAGTCCTGTTAAACACGTACTGAATTATATTTACGGTCTCTCCGTTTACGCAAAAATGTAGCGAATATTGGACTTTGACATTTGGAACCTTAGTGTCGCTACTTGTCGCTATGATTCTCATATTAGCTATGAGCAATTTGTAATATCGCTCCTACAGCTTTTATATTTTCTATTCTCTATCTTTCGAATTAGGCATATTAATATATTTATTTCTTTCTTTGGATGAGAAAGTGAAAACTTAAACGCCAATGGTAGATCTTTTTAAGTTCAATGATGATTAATTTCATATTTTAATCATGAAAGTATACCTCGTTAATCTAATTTCTGTAAAGATTTTAGTTTAAATGAAATGCCGCCATCTGAGTCAATAATTGTAGACATTGTATATAATTATTATCGTAACAAAGATTTTCTGATTTCAAATATGGCAATAAATTTACAGGATTTCACCGTATTTAAAACTATCTAAGAGTTTTACGCCTAATCTTAAAATTCATTATTAGGATTATCACAATTGCAAAATAAAGAATGTTTAAGCGTTCTTGATAGGACGTAATCAATTTTTCCCTTTTCTCCCTTTTTCGTATATGACGATCAGTATTTTTGCTGCTAATGTAGACAAATAGCAGTGTCAACTTAAAAGAATGCAACAGCTAGCAGAATCTCTTATCGATACGGTTATGACAGTAATATTTCTGCAGGTTTTATTAACGGAAAACCATCTCGAATTTATAAATTGCTATTGCTATGATGGCAACTAAAGAGCCTAAATTGAGTTAATCTCTGCAATGCTCGTATCTGGCTGTTCAAGGCTTTCCTTTTCTATTCTTACACAATTTACAAATAAAGTAAGTTACATAACAGATGATATGGTTTTCATGATTTTATAGACAATGCTAGGAAATATTCTCTCCGGATTATTTTTCTCACCAGTGCCACTAGGTACCTAATGTAAGCTTTTTTATAAACTGGATTAGCATTCATTTATTGCCCTAGTAGAATGCAATACAATTTTGCACTTGCAACTAATTTATTCACGTAATAATACTTCAAAATATCGTTATCGATATCGTATGAGGAGCTAAATTGAACGACACAACATATTGACCCATTCTTCTTTCATATCTGCTAGCAAACGTGATAGCATGTACTATAATTACTTGCTAAGCTTCGTCAAAGCGATTGATGATAAGATCGCATAGAATTGCCTCTTGGGTAGAGTACTTAGCAAGGTTCGAGTTGTTAGCACACTCACAGGCTTGTTACACCATTCTACCCTCCATTAATAATGTATCATTACTACTGTCCCATTCAATTACAATTGTTGACGAGAATTAAGGCTCTTCAATATCTGTTAACAATGAATACATTGTACAAACTATAAGTTCTAAACTTAGTGTTGTTTTATTTTACTAGCAACATCTTGCTGATATTAAAACTGTTAAGTGACAAACATAATGAGAAATTGCAAAACATGATCACAACATGACTTTCTCACTATATTCATTACGGTACTATACTATACGTATAAAGCTAAACCACTATACACCCAATAAAGATTTAATGTACTACTGTCTAACAGAGAACAAAAATAGTGCATGTGTAATTTGAGAAAATTAACAGTCTACTGTCTAGTCTTCCTTGATTGATGGAGTGTTTCGATTCAAGTACCACATAGAAAAGTTTAGTAGGCTAGCAAAGGAAACCCAACCAAGGTAAGGCCACATTAGTTTTCCAGCGGTTGCATTAATTGGAGTAAATAAATGGATGCAGTATACAATCGATGCCCACGTAGCTACAATATCAATGCCAGCCTTAATAAAATATAATAACCGTTATATCCGGTAGATAGATGATGAAATGATTATCGTACATCATTTATTTAATGCTAAAGCTTTTGTTCAGTTCAAAATTCTTGACTATAGCTATCATTACTGATGATGTTAAGGTTCAACGGTAAAGAATTAAAGTATGCATGGATTGCTTCACGTTGTCAAAGTAGCGATATAATTAATTATTGTTTTACATTATTGCAAACTTACAAGTCCCATTCTCTTAGCTCCAAAAAATAATGGTGTCCAGATGCCGTTGAATACAAGATTAAGTTCATAAGCCTGTAGGGCTTTTAACGCTGGTCCCTCGAAGCCACCACCATCACGCCAAACTAGGTAGGATGCATAACCCATGCCAGCATATAACAGTGTCCACATAGGTCCAAATATCCAATTGGGCGGTGTAAAAGATGGCTTACGAATATGCTTGTACCAAGTATTAATGGACTTCTTGGTAAAATAAGACCCTAAAAAGCCAACGGTTTCGGGTATAGCGATTGCTAGAACGATCTTTTTCCAGTCCGACATGCTATTAAACATTTTATACTTATTAGAACTTTTGAAAGTCATACCTTACAATGTGCATCGTCATTGTATTACGACGAATATATGCATTGTATGTAAAATTACAGGACATTTAAGTTACAATTATTACCAGTGTCAACAAATAACATTATCTGCGAAGAATGAATTCCCAAATTTGGAATAATTATAATTTTTACCAGATTGAATTATTTGCATGCATTTAAGTTACAACATTCTGAGCATCAGATACTATCAATATCTTTGTTAAAAAGTATATACATGAAAAGTACTGTCAAGGTCTACTGCGGTCATGAAAATTAGCAAGTAGATCTCCTTTCAGAATAGCTGTAAAGCAGCAACATGGTGCTTGCAGAAAGGGTAAAAATTTGATCGCAATTATGGGAAGAAATAGATACTATACTGCCTGTATATAGCTTCCATATCCTATTTACTACTTTCATAATAACAAAATACCAGTATATGTAAGTATTTGGATCGTAGTTTACGGTTATTATACGAAGCACGCTAATCTTTCAACCAACGAATTTGGTTGGCGAGTATGCAGTATACTGTACATCGAACATTTTTTCTACTTGTAACTAATACTGCAGTCTATTGCAGATAGAGTAAATGACGGCCAATTTTCCTATTTTTCCGTCTTTTGATATTTAACGATATTTCTTATTTCTACAGTATATATAATGCTTATGAGTTTGGTTAATAAGAGATATGGTAAACCATATTTATACTTATAAATACTGTCGCAGTCTAGTATAGATACTACATATGGAGAAGAAACTTTTCTTCTATCCCTCTCACTTAACTCACTTTTAATAAAATACAAACATTCAAATCGATTCCAGTGAGATCAGATCGCATTTATCCACTTATTTAAGAGCGTATCATTGCATTGGTGAGCATAATCCATACATTCTAAATTGTTGAATTTTGCGTTTGAACACCGGGATAAAATGGCCCAGCCAGCTATTGAACACTACTTTAACTAGTGAAACGGAATGGCTTATACGAACTAGGCTAAGCTGTGTATCCAATATCGGCAGACATTTCTCCTCTGGCTGTAGAAGAACTGATTTGCCTTTTAAATTAAATTGATGAGTGATGATTTATGATACTGTAGTGCTGTACTGCAAAAATATCGCCACTGTAACATACAGAAAGAGTACACATGTGCGTCTATCATGATCCGCAGTAAGGGTAAAATGGAATGATTGTACGTTAACACTAGCCTGTGTATAAATGTACTGTGTTGTAGCTTCCTGTTTCGTCTCTATTATAATTATTATAAGGGACTAAGGGAGTATGGAGCCAGTATCCAATATGGGCGTAATAGACGCTATTACTCCACTGGATTTCTAGTCATTTGCATAATTTGTTTTACGTACTTTGCAATTTTTAAAGTATGCAAGTACGCGAGCACCGGCATTAATCCGATAATTCTACCGGCCTATTACCCATTTAATTAATCAATAGTGGTCGATCTTGCGGCATTCAGCATAACTAAAAGTGTAGACACTTTCAATTTTATAGCAATCCCTTGTACTTAATACTGTGTTCAATCATGGCAGCCTGGATCATCCAAGCTAGGATCCGTAATCCATTTGATTGTTTGATTTCAAGGAATTGTAATTTATTAATATGAAGAAGCGATTATGCAAATTGTCGATGAGAACATAAGAAGTGGAAAATGCACTGATTGACTGAATATTTTTTTATCTTTACCTTATTTTTGTCACTTCCTACAAGGTTGGTTTCTGCTGCGTGAAATCTAATAAGCAACAGAGACGAAATTGATATTAACGAGATGGGACGATAACCTGAATAATTTGTCCATTGCTGCAACAGGAACGTGGTTAAAATTACGCCAAGTGCAACTAGAAATAATGCCATCATCAAATCATGCTGTGCTACTCCTTTGCAGATGTTCTACAGTAGATTGATTTCTTCTAAAGCAGTATAACAAGCTTCAATAGTCTTCCATGATCATCTGCAGAAAACGAGTTAATCCTCAATGGATTCAACGGAGCGCTTTCTGAACATCAAGAAATGCAAGAGATTTGATTCCACCTGAAACAAACAAAATCTCTTTGCCTACAATTGATTGCATATTCTTTCCGTTAACTCTGGCTACCTACCGTTGAATTACTTTTCGATTTTCTTCAATGAATTGATCCTAAGGTAGGAATCCTCCAGTGATTTCGTCTTGACAAAACTGGGCTCAGAAAGTTGCGTCAAGAAAGGTCTACGGTAGTCTACCACTCCACTGGGGAACACTTGCTATTGATGCAAGGGGTCACAGTGACGTCATCAATAGGGTCAAGCGTCAACTCCTATAGCGTCAGGGGTCCCCTTCCTAGCAGCTTTTTGTATAGGCTTCAATGGGGTCAAGCGTTAACTCGATCGTGTACTTTACCGTCACCGGTCTCCTTCAGAGGACCTTTTGTAAAGGCTTCATTGTATTGGACATTTGGACTACTCGCTTTATTACGTCATCGAGTTGCTAGGAGATTTGAACATGTTCATACTGTACAGTACACAGCACATGCTTACTATGGGGGCTTATTACTGAAGGAGAGACAAATCCTGATTGTACTGTACAGTGCCAGCCCTATGAGACACCATAGTGTTTTTTCCTAATAATATGAACATTGAACAGTTGAGAACACTTTTTTCAGTGTTAACTTGACTTTTGTCAAGTCGCTGCTTTTGTGAAGCTGTGCGAGTGTCGTGTAGTGTAATTTTGCAGTGTACAGTACAGTACAGTACCGTACAGTACAGTGTACACACACTATACTGTACAGTATGTACTGTAGTCTAGTGGTATGGATCGATTTGGATCCCTTCAATTTTCTCTATAGCAAAAGCTGTTCAAATTGAAATTTCTTGCAAATTTTGGTGATCAAGATTTTTTACATTCGTGTCATGTAGATGGTTAAAGTCGATTTCGTTTTAACTCAGGGAAGAAGTTGAGTTCTTGATAGTTGTAATTAAGAAGGGTTCACGTTCTAAGAAATTTCAATTTTAACAGCTTCTAGTCTGCTACCGTGTACAGTGTACAATACAGTACTCTACTCTACTGTACTGTGTACTGTAATGGTACCCTAATAGAACGATCGATTCCTGGTGTGTAGCCTCTTGATCAGAGTCTCTATAAGACCACTATTACACGGGCGTGGCGAGCCCTCTAAAATGATGGAAAGACGTTCAGCAATGATAGTGTTGCCTTAAATTATATCTTTAAATTGTGAAGAAATGGACTTTCAATTTGCCCTCCAATTCCATGCAGACAGATCAGTGCAACCTTGAGCTATTGGCTCTTGATATTTTGATTACTTTTTACTTTTTATTGCAGTATTCAACACTGGAATTGTATTGCTTTCAAGTTTCGAATACAAACTATGAGTCGCTGTTACATGTACGGTCACTTCAACCATTTTGCATGCCACGTCGTAATACCACTAGAGTCTGTACTCTACAGTACAATATACTGTAACTTACAGTACAGAGTACTGCCGTCTACAGCACTTTTTGAAACACATTCCGCTAGTGATTGAATCCAGACGGCTCTTCGAGTACTGCACAGCCGCAGTACTATCTCTCCAACGAGTTACAGACTGATGTACGGACCCCATCAGGTCTGAAGTTCGCAGAACAATATTGACGTCTAAATCGAATGAGGCTTTCCTAAAGCAAGTTGCTTTTAGCAACTCGGAAGACATTCCTACTGACTACAGTAAAAGGTAACAGTGGCTAGAGGTGGAAAGATCTATCGTATTTATTCCCAAGAATTGAGTTTGAGTCTGATTATTCCCTTCAACAATTCTCTGCCTCATCAATCAGCCTTCCATTCCATAAACAATATTATTGTTTAACGCCCTGATTGAACATACCAATCATGGTATTGCAACTAGCAAGCACTTGTTTGTTTTGATTGGAGAACCGTTATTGTTGTGTAGTCATTAAGAGGCTATTTTAAGTTATTAATACTTTACAAAACCATTCAACGGAAATGATTGCAGCTGCTTTAATAGTACTACCGCATTTAAGTGGGATCATTGCTCAATATTTAACAAGGAATCAGAAAAAGGAAATTTATGCATGTGTCAAAAGGCCCAAATGGAATCCATCTTTCTGGATAGCGACCTTAACTTGGGCAGCTTTATACACCTGTATTGGGATTGCATCCTACTTAACTTGGATTGATGGCCAAGGACTACAAGGTGCAGCTAAATTTCCATTATGCATTTATGCACTTATTGTACTCCTCAACCTTTCATGGCAGCTATGTTATTACAATATCCAAAGCTTAACAATGGTAAGGTGATAACACCTTGTAGTAATATCAATGTGAATTATCCTGTTATCCTGTAATCAATTAACGATAACCATAATTATTATGACTGCTTACCCAATTTTTCATCGAATTACATGGACGGCTATACATTAGCTTTACCAGAATATAGAAGTTACAATAGATTGATCTTAATTACAACTCTGTCATGCTGCCTTGTCTTATGATGACATAGAAATTGGAAGTACTCATATCATATAGTTGATACCTTAATTTTCTCCTGGTATCTTGCAAATGGATAACATACAATCAACTTCTATCCAGTTTTAATTGCAGTTATACTTTATTTTACGAATACACAATAAATAATAACAATAATAAGTCTACCTTAATGACAGTAATACGCGTATAGACCATCCTGGCGGTCATAACTAGTATGCAATCAATATGGGCATCGACTAGCAAGAATGCATGAATCGTTTTATAGCTTAAAAACTAATTTTATCGCTGAGTAGTACTTTAGCAATCACGAGTCTTGATAGGCGAAATAACTGAATGGCAGGCAATAGATTAATGCAATAATATTACAGTAATAGTTTTACACCTTATTCTGTGAAAAATCATTGACAATTATATATAGATTTCCCCTTATCTGTTTGCAGAATAATCGTAATATGCAATCTGCACAAGCATAGTCATGTTTATACACAAAAGGTTGCAGATTTAATATCTCAGCTTGATGCTAACTATGTTATTTTCCCATATTCTGCTGTAGGCTGCTTTAAATCTTATAGTCTTAACTGGTGTAAGTGGCTATTGCGCAATTTTATTTCTACCTATCAATGAGATGGCGTTCTATTTGGTACTGCCGTACGTTGTTTGGATTGCTTTCATGAGCTTACTTCATATTACTATTTGGTCCATGAATAGAGTTCGTACAAAACTAGAATGATGGAGACATGTAGTCCATGTACAAATGATTGCCAATATACTGAGCCTATAAATACACTTTTAATCGATGTAATTTTTAAAATGATAAAAAATTAATCAAGGTCCATAGAGTTGAGTTTTCTGCATTTACCTTGATACGTAGTCAAGTTTTACTGCCTGTTTTGCACTTGCTTAAAATGAAATTGTACACTCATTGTAAATGATATAATTCTAAAAGAATGTAACACGTAATTTTACAATTATGTCTTCTCTATTTATCGATACATATAGTCAAATTTTACCTCACCTTCTAGCTTATTACAATTTGGATACCTTTTCTTTGTACTAAATCTCAAAGCTAAGGTAGCATTTTTCTCTTCAAAATGTGCTTGTTTCATCACCATACCAACCATAAGATGCAACAATCGGTTGATGCTATTGGCTAAAGTAAGCTTAATAATGTTATTGTAGAAATTCATAGAATCTCATAGCATCAACGTACTTTCATAACTCGCTTAATATCGAAATACTTTCCAATTTATTAGTCTATCCATTCATTCAATTTCGTTAAATAGTTCCTTACAGCAGGAATATGAATGGCCTGGCCTTTATCGTTATATCGATAGCTTCGTTATTATTATTGGTATCTAAAATATGAATCACAAATCACCATTTGAAAGCTAATCGCATGTTATTTTGGAAACCTATTTTCGCCATAATAGTCTATATTTATAGTAAGTAATTAAATTGATCATTGCTAGAAACTTATTTACATATTTTGAAAATGAAATATAAAATTAAACATCAGCGTAGCATGCCAATGCTTCGCATACCAAATTCCACTAAGAAGACTGTATGCTCACCGCGTGTATTGCATAGTATGCAAAGCTATCCTAACTTTTTAGATTGAAAGCAATAAGACTGATTCATTTTAACCTCAACGTTAATATCTTTGATTTGGCAAATACACGCGTTACCGGATTAATATTCCTGCATTATTTTTTGATACAGCTTTTCCCTTTTATGCCTTAAAATATTTATATGTCAAGATACGTTTGATCGCCGTAAGAATTGGAACATTAAATCAGTTGTATCGTATTCTACTGTTACTTTGTCAGTCTAGATACAGATAGGAAATAGACCGACCTAGATGATAATTTTTTTCATCTACTAGTTAAAGTTGAATATTAAGCGTTCGGGTACATTTGGTTCGTATCCTACATGATTATTTTCTATCCTAAAAGAATGATTGTCACCACTTTAAAGTTTAGAAAGATTAAATTGACACTTTTAGACTCCTGCATATTTTAACACCTACAACAAAACACCAATCCCAATTATTCCATTTCATAGTTATAGACGTTTCTTTTGAACTCGGTCTAGACGCATATACATCCACCGCTACACGAAAATAAATGGAATTGATTCTAAAAGGTAGTATCTCCTCCACATCGTCACATTTTTCAGCGATTATGTCCATTTTAATCTGTACATCTTTTAAATATTAAAGCATAAGATCTCTAAATTCTAAAGCCTTATAATTGATCTGCAATGTATTCGCTGGTTATTCATCACTGCATACTTCTTTCAAAATATTTTAAACCCCTGTATCTACGGTTAAGTACAAGCAACACTTATTCGTACAGAATTGCATTATGTCTGCCTTTCTTATACCGGCTAGATACAACTGCCTCAAAATTAATGCCTTCTGATGAAGGCTCTAGGCCGACCAATACCATTTTTCAATATCTGCATCCGTTCAGGATAATCCCATCAATAACTCATAAATCATCCATCAACATTCTGCTCTTGCGGTTGCAACGTATCATGCTACTCTTAAATCTAAAATAACCAGAAGTAGGGTATACTCAAAATTTATAGCTCAATCTTAGCTAACACCAAATTTCTTTCTATCTGCTGAATATCTAGAAAACCTGTATGGATATCTGTGCGAGCTACAATTGATTACTTCACCGACGAATCAGCGAAAGGCAAGCATAACTTACAAAATGACTCTAAGAGTAGATTGATCAAAGCTGTGATTCTGTAAGGCTAGATCGACTTATTCCTAACTTATTCATAGCATTATTGACCGATAATATGTTTATTCCGCAATTCCAGCGATAACACACCTTGTCAAATTATGTTTCATATATTTGGACGAGCGTTATAGCAAATAATAATTATTGTCTATAATTAAATTATGGCTTTTATTTCAGATCACTAGCCTAATTTGTAATTCATAATCATCATTTTGTCATATGCTGAACATATGATGGCCTATTTATACCTCTATTAATTTATTTAATTATTCCTATTCAAGTGTTATGGATAACCGATTCAACACGCAGGTAGTGGATAACTAAAATAGTTATAAGATCAGAGCTATCTTCAGTTTATCAATAGGTATGATTCAGAATTAATAGAGCTAGCGAAATAGCGAATCACCATGAATAAATTATATTTCCCTTTCTGTCATCCCCCTAAATCTACTGCTATTGGCCATTAAAAATATCAAGCATATACTCTATTCATTTAGGTCATGTACTATACTATGGTCTATCGCTGAATATTTGCTATTAAGAATTACTAGCGCTTTGCATCTTTCACTATTTTTAAAAAATAGCTACCGAACCAATTCGCATCAAAATTTACTTCGAATAACAACGTTGTGTTCAAGTAAAGCAAGCTTTCATAATATTGTAATTAAATACTATTATCTTCTAATTTAAAAAATCAAGGCAATTTCTCTAGAAAATTGTCGATAATGAAGGTAACTACGGCCATCAACTATTAACTATGTCAAGACTGCATACTAAAGATACGTTAGATATTACGAGATCAACTCCTAATCTTCACCATGGAACTGTATTGGCCAGTAAAGTCATTGAAGTTGAAGAATCATTACATTTAGCTGCTAGAAATGGAGATACCAAGAAATGCACGGTAATGAAGCGATTACAAACACAAGTATAAAGGAATAAAATTAAATTTGTCGTCCCATCTCTTAGCTTTCATCAGACGGTGATATGTAGCATTGCAGCAATTTCCAGATATAATTTCTTGCAATTTACGAAGAAGGCCCATATTCCGTAAAAATAATTGACTATGATAGGCTAAAAATTACATTTAGATAGCATTCTACATCTAATAGGAGGTCTCGAAATCGATATAAAGGAAGGATTATAGTTTAAAATTGTATCCTGATTTTCCATTTTCAAATCATAAATCAATGCTGATAGCCTACTGATTATTCCATCAGCAATGTAGCATATGTTTCTTTACAAAAGTTCCTCCATGTTATAATCGGTTTAACATAATTTCCTGCTGTTTGAACCTGGAGATTTTCGTCGTTTATGACGAAGAGATTATATTAATTTTGTAAAAAAATAAGCTCACAGAGGATATCAGTATCCTAATAATGATCTCCCTAGCATACATTAGAACTTCTTTCCCAGCATAAATTTGGATAAACCTTTAAAATGCTTGATTAATTTTCATTTCATAACAATTTATACCTTCTTTCTAGAACAGAACAAGTCATTTTATTATTCGATTTCGTTATTATTAATTATAGCTTCTTAGTGTCTTGAGATTAAAGCTGTCGGCTAGGTAGTACGGCAGTTTTAACGACTAGAAATAGTACAATTCAATTCTATAACTTGCCAAACTATCGTACTACTCGAATTATCTATTCCACCTCATATCGAATTTGAATACTATTTACTCCTTCCTAATTCATACATAAAACTTTGTAAACCTGTTTATCGAAAGTCTATTCTTAGCGGTTAAATTCTACCGTTGGGTATCTTTCCGGTTTTGATGAAACTAGTTGCAAGATTAACTGCTACGGATCTTAAGTTACCTCAAGTATATTGTAATGATAAATGATAGACTTTAAACCAATGAAACCTGTAACTTATAGATTAAATCGGTCAGGAAATCTCTCAGTAACTAGCCATATCTCATAAGCAAAATTAGCTGCTACAAAACTTAAGTTACCTCTAGTGGATTTTTAATGATACGTGATATGTTAGCTTCAAAGTAATGATGTTTGCAATCATAGATTGAACAGGTCAGAAATCTTTACGGTAACTAGCTTTATCTCATAGAGTTCTTCTTCCTCTTTTCATGTTTCATCTTCTCTTAATAGTTAGATTGATGCCAATTTTCTCTCAATAAATTTCCAATTAGCATATTAAAGATATTCATATCGTATTAAACTGCAGTCTTTTCACAGCTATTTCGTAAATTTATATCCTCTTCATAACGATTATAATTGCACTAAAAAGGTACTTCTTAATGTTGGCTATTTCATTCAAAAGCATAATTGATCTCGAGTAAATATTCTCCGTGCTAATATGAAGCTAAGCCATTAATTTAATCGTCGTCAATTTTTATCTCCGGCAAGACAAATAAAATAAATTTTAGACGGCATAATTGTGATATCCAACTTATTTCATAGTTCTCTTATCGATGATAGCATTGCAAACAGTAGATACAAAAAGTGGAGATCTTTATCCCATGTTTTGCTAAAGTTGAATTAAATATAGGATTTATAATGGATGTCTAAATCCCTTATATTGTAGTAAATATCTACTTCTCTAAATTGTAATTTATTATCTCGGACGAAAGCGCCTCATATTTTCTGTTCCAATTGGTTATTAATTACCACGGTATTTACTGAAAGACTTTATTTCTATTTCAGAATATATTAAATGCAAGTCAAGGCGGCAAAGCTGTGGATGTTAACTGCAAAGGTACATAGGAAGAGAATTGATCTAACCTTAACCTAATATCAGAGATTTCTAGTAAAAATAATTTTAACGATATTAAGATACTTAATAGTAAGATATCAAATCAATTTTTTTGCTGACCGATCGTAGGAAGGAATAATTACAATCTTGGGTGGACACCACTTCATTTAGCTGCTTATTATGGTCACAACAGTATAATTAAGTTGTTATTACAGGTAGCAAATCTGAGATATAGATATCTCTCAGTCGATCATATCTTTTAACAAAATTATTTTTAAGCTAAAATTTAAGACATGCAATAAATGGTAAAAGGTCTGTTAAGATGTCTACATCTAATCTAACATAGTCTATTGATGATGTAATATTTTAAAATTCAGCATGGAGCTGACGTTAATGCAACTAATGATGTCGGCGATACACCATTACATAAAGCTTGTTACATAGGGCGTAGTGTAAGTAATTAATTCAAGATGGAAATTTAACGTCGGATTTTATTTGTTAATATTTGATTAATACTTTGTCTTAAGATAAGGAAATTTTCACTTTAAATAAAATACATTTGTACTTATTCAGTCTAATGGGATCCAATTATTAATCGGCTTCTACAGGACACTGTCTTACTGTTATTAACAGAAAATGTTAATGTATTTACGATTAATAATGTTGGCGATACTTCTCGGTGTATTGCCAAAACCAGGGAAGTGGAAAAAATATTAGGAGGTAAGCTGATATTCTAGCCGTAAGCATACAAATGCTGTAATATCAGTTAATACTATATTATTTGCTTGGCTATCTATTGGAAGACATGAGGTATGCCTATAAGAATTTAATTTGTAAAAATTGTGATTGATATAGCTGCCGAACGAATTCAAAATAGAAAGAATGAAGAAAAGTTTTTAAATTCCGCTAGAATAGGGGATCTTATAACTATGCAATTGATGGTAATATATGACTAATACTTATCGTACTATTAAATCTGTAATCTAATGAAAATAACGTCGTACTGATTCAAGCTTATTAGATTATAACATTTTAAGCTTCATTTTTGCTTCAGATTTTGATGATCTAAAATGCTTATACAGAATATATTGCAATTGATAAAATAGTCTGGGAAAAATCAAATGCAGCTATAATTGACATAATTATAATCTATTAAATTGTGAATATAAAATGAAATCTAATGTGCTCGCTTATTTCCATGCTTACTTTAAATTCTAACGTTTTGGGAGACGAAAATTCATAAATATTCCATTGGATTTAGTGTACTATGCGTATGCTTATCCTTTCTCTAGATTAAAATCCTTTGAGCCTAAATTTAACATTATTCAATTGCAACCATGACAGCTGCTACATATTTTACCTGATATAGATTGTCCACTAATCTGAAATCGAGAGTTTATTAATGTTATGATTGCCATATCCAATAGGCAGCCCTCGTATTTGACATTTTCTTCCTTTTAATTAGTTTAATGACATCAACTCTCCAAATATCCATTGTACAGATTTACATGGTAATACTGCTCTACACTATGCTGTTCAAAGGTAGAATTATTTTTTTATTTCCAGTATACAATAAATTTATAAATGTAAACTACAAAATTGATTTACTAATTTTCGTCTTGATTATTTATATCATTTCTGATCTTACTTTTAGAAATTATCAGGAAATTGCTAAGCTATTACTGGATAAAGGAATTGATGTCAATATCAGAAATAACTATGGTAAGGCAGACCTTTACATCATTTGCCATTACCATTTTATTAATGAAAAGGATTAACTTGCGATTGAAACATGCAATTTATTCCTGCTCCTATCCATGATTAGATTAAATAGCTTTGAAAGAGTAAAATCATTTGCATGATGCCGTTAAGAAATTAATTTTAGCATTAACATTATAAATAATTTGGCCACTAAATAAACAATCTATTATCATAATGAACCATATTTAGTAGTTTTCCTCTTTATCAAATAAATTGCAGGCCAATATAGCCATGACTTAACCGAAAATATTGAAATATCGCAATTAATAAAATCAAAAACTGCAAAGGTTAGCGATATATTTTATTTTTAACTTTACTGTCGATGTAATCATAATATAGAAAATGAAATCAAACTATCATGAGCTAAAACTGCCTATTATTGTAAATAGATTTCAAAGCGCCAAGCTACAAAATTTGAAGGAGAACTACTAAAAGTAAAAACTGTAACGCTGTTTTAATTTAAGTTATATGAATCTAACGTTAATTGCAGCCCTTGACGATGCAATAATTCAATAATTGATAACTCTATAGTAAAAATGTTAATTATCCTTTTCATTCTATTTATTCCTATCTTTTTAAGACCTAATTTTGCTACTAATGCAATTCTAACTTTAATCACCGATACTCTTAAAATTAGAGATCAAGATTCTTTGGCTGGAAGCTATACTGGGTAGTTTTAGATCATGGAACGCTGTTTTACTATAATAAGAGGTATATTAGTAATTCATACTTTGAAATAGCTCTACTAGCGTGGAACAGATATTTCTGTAATGTAAAAAATTTCAAATTCTGCATCTTATAACGCTATTTTTACCTTTGCACTAAATGATCTTTAAAACTAGAGCGGATGCTGTTTCTGGAGTTAAACGTCAGGGTTATCGATGGCTAAGCCAATCTGTCTTCACGGTAGAACTATAAAATATAGCCAATTTAAATGATAAAGTGAGAAATTAGTAATCGAACAATTTAATTGAATGAAATAATGTTCTAGGTCAGGAAAGATGATGAGTTTTCTTTTCGGATTGACTTCTCTGATGATACATCACAAGTATGGAGTGTTACTCCTGGAGCCAATGGACGAGAATGCCGACGGGTTAGACATTATAAATGTAGCTTTTAACAACTTAAAATACTAGCAAATCTGGAACTGTTAATTCGTGCATATGGAAGTATTTTATAACCTTCATTCTTTGAAGAATTTTAAATGATCATGATGACTGTATTACCGTTAATAGAAATGGCTAAACGCTTTAAGTCATCATCGCGAATATAAAATAGATCAAAAATATCGATTTCATACCAGTGCTGAAAATTCCTTAGCTATGGAGCCATTACAAACGATACAAGATGCATTACAAGTATGAATTTAGGATTCTTATCCCTCCATTAATTAATGTACTATGATTGACTCTATACTTTCATTTATGAGCTTTGCTTACTTCCAAGAATATACGTATTACCGTACTTACTTCTTTATGTCCTGTTGCATAAGATTGAATTTTTACATATTTCCATCGTTAGTACGTTAATTAAGTAATTGAGTATCAATTTATATTGGCTTTCTCATATAAATCTAAATAGCAATTCCCTCAAATTTGTCTGAATGATCTTTTTACTCGGTTGTAATTATTCTAGCACTAGTACTAATTTATATTTAGCGTGGCCACGAATTCCTTATGAAACTCTTTTCCTTATTCTTTATAATTATGCAGACCGCACAAGCCAATGTTAAAATCCTTGAGACTAGAATATCATTTTACGAAAAGAAATCACAAGTTCATCCGGCTCCATATATAGAAGACATAGTAAATCAATCAAGCAAAGTAGAAATCGTCTCGAAAGAATTATGGTCTACATTAGATCATTGCATGAAGATACTTGAGCAGCAATCGAATGTAAAATATGGCAGCAATGATTGAGATTATATCGGACTACTCTGATCAATTATTTCACTGATCTAAATCCCCTTTTGATCGAAATAGGAATTACAGAAGCAAATGAGCAAGGAAATGAAGAAAGATTTAATGATGCAATCAACACTGGAGCAACTCGCTGATGACCAAGAACAACTAGCTAGACAAGCTGCAGAGGTAAATTGAATTTAAATGTTCATATTTCAGCCAGCATATTTTTCTCGTAGAGCTTAATCGATGTTTAAAGCGATCCTGTTTATTATACCGGCTTGAAATACTTAATACCTTGATTTATTGCTGTTACAATCATCTTCATTGCTCTTTCTGAATTGCGATCTAATTAAAACGGCACTTAGCGGCAGGAAATTTTAGAAAATTCTCGCCGAGATAATGGCGAAGAGGAAAACGACGATAGTTTCTACGATGTAAACAGTCATAGTGGGAATGAATCAGACGAAGGTAGGAATCTTTAATTACAAATCTTAAATTAGGAGCAATTGGCGAATATGCAGATATTGCAATTAGACGTTGAATTAGTATCATTAATCTAGTCAGTTGGGGCGGTGGATAGTTAGTAAGGATTCTAAAACTTTTTTGATTCTATGTTTGATATTCTAAGCTGAAAGTGAAGAAATAGGACAAATTATCGAAGCTGATGGCGATATTGTAGTTCGGCAAAATATAAAAATGATGAAAGATTTTAAACCCAGGTACAACTGCCATAAATAATCAATCATTAATTTGAAAATTTTTATTCAAGCTATCTACATTTAATTAATTTTATAACAACCTTATCTATTAATAGAACATCTTTACCAGCTCCAATGATGTCTCGAGAAGATATCACGATTTGGTCTATCTTGAAACATTCCATAGGAAAGGTGAGGAATTTTAATTTTCAAGCTTGGACTATCAAAATCAATAGCTGAGTAGCTTTTATAGTAAATAGCTAATGCTAACAGAGGAATACTATGTCGTAATAAGGAAGTAATGCCATCCTTAACTTAGCTAACATTATGCTGTTAAGAATCGTGAAATTAGCTATATTCGTATACTATCAAATTTTCGGTACTTATTGGATTCTAACGTTTTCCTACAGGATCTATCAAGGATAACAATGCCAGGTTAATTTGCAATTTTTGATTTCATCGATAATTCTATAAGGTTCTTAACGACCAAAATTGGTCCTATATCTTTTGCATGTATATAATCAACTTGCTCATGGACTGTATAGTCTATTTCAACGAGCCTCTATCCTTCTTACAACGACTTGCTGAATACATGGAATATGATCAGCTATTGGATATTGCAGCAGAAAGCCAAGACCCACTCATACGTATTCAAGTAATAACTACAGCAGCTTTTCTTAAATACGCTCTTAATCTCTAGATTAATCTGTTTGTGCATGGATCAAAGATTATTTCATAACTGCTTCATAAAACAAAACAAATTGCTTGCTTACACCCTATTTAATGCGAGAGAAATAGCATTGCGATAGCAATCAACAATTAAATTTATGATTTTCCACTTGCTGTATTCGCACTTTCGCAGTATGTCGCCGCTTTTGCTGTGTCCAGCTCAGCATCTAACTGGAATAGGATTGGTAAACCTTTTAATCCATTACTGGGAGAAACTTATGAGCTAGTAACGTAAGGAAATCTTATACGAGAATTAAATTATCTAAAATTGACCTGATTTAAATTTTAAGATCATACAGTATTTAAAATACGAGAAGCTATTTGGAAATAACTTATTCGTACATGATTTCAAATTTCAATTGATTCGTCTCACCTTGACTTGTTTTACGTGCAAATGATATGTCTCGCATTTATCTTCTCCTTTCTGGCAGGCATCGATTTCAGTTAGTAACTGAGCAGGTAAACTAAAATAAATAAATTTTCAGCTATTTTCCAGGCTGTAACTTGATAATTGTCGTAGATATCATTAAATAGCAAGAATGTGAAAGCCAAATAACTACCGCGATCCTTTTAATGTGCCGGCATGGCCATCTACGCTACTGAAGCGAAATTAATATCCCTAGATTGGCCTCTTATTACAGTACTTTATTTCATAAATAATTCACACGGATAATCAACTAGAATAAATCATCACAGTGGCAGATTTCTCAATATTTTACTTCAGTACCGGAAGTCTAACAGCAACTACTGCAACTGAACCTGCTGATCTAATCGGAATGTTAGCAGTTAATGTTGCTTAAAGAGTGCAGCACTAATGCAATACTGAGTAATTACTTGTATTAAATGTTTCTAAACGACTTAAAGTGTATAATCGTCATGTACTTTATGTTAGCCTTTACCACTATTTGCATATATATAGTAGGCCCAGGTCAGAGATGTATACTTTTCAAACTTAAGTTGTACAAGGCGACCTATGCCATAGTAGCAAATGTAGGTAGATTGGCCTCTGATTTCAATACTTTACTTTATAAATAAGTATTGCATACTTGTATTCTAGTCATCAAGAATAATTCATTGCAGTAGAAGATTCTCATCATTTTATTCCAATGAGTGTAGTAGTCCACTGGCAACTACTGTAACTGAATTTTGTAATCCAACTGGAATATTTGCGGTTAAAGTTGCATAAAAGAGTACAACACTTAGTAATTACTTGTATTAAACGTTTCTAAATGACTGAAGGGTTTAATCACCGTCTATGTTAGCCTTTACAGCTATTTGCAATATATAGTCACAGATCAGAAAATGAATACTTTTCAAATTTTAGTTACGCCACATGTTTCTTTTTCTATTATGGAACATTTCAATTGCCTGTGCTTATAATAGGAAAAGCTTGTAGCTTCTATTGGTTGATATTGATCAAGCTTAAATATCATGATATATACCATATACATATAGCTATTATCTGCTATAAATCACGATTGGTTATGGATATCTATAACGGATTATCACAGAAAGAAACATTAACTTCTCTAAGTGTTGACGGTTTTGCTTGTACTAATGAAGGACATTAAGGATATTGCTAAATTTACAATCCGATGCTTGCCACTCATAGGTTAGCCATCATCCACCTATATCGGCTTTCCACTGTCGCTCTTTGAATAACAACTACAGCCTTAGCCTGTCAGTCCAACCTAAATTGAAATTCTGGGGCAAGGGTGTAGAAGTCATTCCTAAAGGTGTAGCAATTCTGGAATTTCCAAAGTAAGTCAAGCAGGCCGTTTAATCTATATTTAAATTTGGCAATAGTCCTTTAATTAAGTAAAGATACAGAGAAAATCAAACACAGGCCAATAAAGTCTTTTTATTCCTGTGCAATTTAATCCAATATAGACTAGGGGAAATCTATACTTGGTCGCAAGTAACAACTTACATTCACAATGTCATTACCGGCAAACTATGGATCGAACAGGTACAATATCAGCAGCGTCCATCATTTATATGATGTATTCTAAATATTATATAATTCTGAAACGAAACCTTTTCATCAATATGATCATGTTCACCATAACTTCTTTAACGTTTTCTTTATTAAACTCCGTCGCTGTACCATGTCTGGAAGTGATATCTTTATGTGCACATACAACTAATGTTTTAAACAAAATTTTGCTCCTATGAAATTTTTCCGTGCATTTGGTCATCATAGTAGTGATATTAGCGACGATTACTAATGGTTTCGATCACAAACCGAATAAAAATCTAGTATCAGATTATTACTTATTAGCAATCTAGCTCAAGTTATAATATCGCCCATGCACGAGCTCCTTTTCAGGCCTATGTGATGTTACAGTTTCACTACTATCCTAAAGGACTTCCTTCTAGTAACTACTAACACTCTCTTTACATGGGCATCTATTTTTAGTATGGCAATCTCGACGTGATCAATCACACTAATGGCTATAAGTGTAGTATAAACTTTAAGCCAAGTGGCTGGTTTGGAAAAGATCTTAATCGCTTACAAGGCTTTGTCACTGATGCTAAGTAAGCAAAGACAAGAAAAATTTTGTCCATAAATCATTTTAGACCTAATTTTTATATGCTTATGTTTCATAGCAAAGAAAAAGCGTATTCATTAGAGGGGAAGTGGACTGAGGAATTGCATTCTAATTTGCTCAACCCTGCCTTAATCAAAACACGAAAATCTAGTAAAACATCATTGCCAACATCTAAAGATGCTGATGAAGATCTTGAGAATGATGGTAAATCTTCATTGAATCCAAGCCAAAGCACAGCCAATTCCTTAGCAGTTCCATATCAGAATACAAGCAAGACATCTAGTAATAATGATTTGACGGATAAACCTGTTGGAACTTACCAAGAAAATATTCACCTTTGGACAGCGGAACCCAGACCTGCCTGCTCCGAAAAGGCAAGCATTTTTAACTTGAAATTGATGCTAAAAGTAAATTGTAGACTCCTATATAAGATATTATATCTCAAAAATATTAACATTTCTAAATCTCATTTTCAAGATGTATGGTATGACCGCATTTTCGTTTATGCTGAATGAACTAACAACAACGCTTGAGAAATATGTAAGAAAGATTATAATATTAGATGTTCTCAACAAAGCTTGGGCGAGGGCCATATTAACGATGAAATTATGGATGCTTCATTTATGTATTCATTCTTTATGCTATAGAAACCATCAGCTATCATTAAATAATTCGATATTGCATCTTGATTACAGTTACCGAGAACCGATTCAAGATTTAGACCAGACATACGATATCTCGAATTGGGTAGTACAGGTAAAGCAGATTATTTGGTAATTACAGCATGGCCAATAATTAATATATGCAAGCAGAAATTCGTATGCATTAAATTACGTCCAAAACTTGAATTTATATCGCTACTGTGGATAAAGATTAATAAATGTATTAAATCCTTAGTAACGATGATAATTCTCCAATATTCCCGGAGCGTTAAAGTTAATTTGACATGAACTCTGATTTTACTTTGCTAACGTAGAATAAGATTGTGCTTGTCATAGTGCAATCAGCATAACTTTACTTTCCGCTGATGTTATTATACGCAAACAATAATTCATCTAAGTTATGATTATATACCCTATCATTTTCAAAACTTTAGTTCACTCTCAGTTAATAAAATTAATGAAATAGATAAATCTATTTACAATGACTTTAATTTTCCATGGAATAGATATAACGACTGTCTTTCATTAGACCAGATTTGCCTATAAAATGCTTCTTAAAACTCATAATTATATAATCATTACTTGATTGAATAATATTTCACACAACTTATAGCTATCGTGTATTACAATAGATAAGGCAGCTAGTGAAAAACTGAGATTGGAAGAAAAGCAGCGAGCAGCACGTCGAGAACGTGCTAAAAATAAGACTGAATATCAGCCGAAGTAAGCTCATATTATTACAGTTAATAAGATGGAAAAAAATAATTTCTCTTTGCTGTTCGCCGATAAATTAGATTTATCGGGCAATTACATCGAGTAGTGTAGTTACATATTGTTGCCGATATTGTTTAGAATAACTTTAGTGTTATCAACTTTTAACAATTTAATAATTTAATAACTTCCTACTTATGCATCTAAGTACGCTTAAGCAGCAAAATTAGAATCAAGGACGAAATATTAATACGGTTTGTCTAAAACTGATATTTTCTTATAGATGGTTTTATCAAACGACGAATAAGTTTATTGGTGCGCAAGTATGGGAATTTAACGGCAAATATTGGAATGGAGATTACGAAGATTGCCCTCATATTTATGAAGATAAATGAAGTGTTGATTCATTTTATAATATAAATTACTTCTAATAATTTCTCAATGCCTTACATGAAGCAATTGAAGCTTATCACCCTATTCATACTACATTTGTATCTTGATGATTGTGACAGAAGCGAAATATAGTAAGAACTATCAAAGGCTAAACAAATTAATTGTATTATTCTGATTAATTTATAAAAGTTACCGACCTACTAATGAGATACATTTGCCAATATCACTAGTAAAGTTTCATCGTAGTATAAAAAAGGATTCTTGACATACACGTTTATCGGACAAAAGTATCTTCAGTATTTGCAGCTTGTAAAAATGCTAATGGTTAATGATAGTGTAGCATGAAGGTATAGTATAGATCGCAATTAGTGTCCAGTAATTCTTTTATGAAACTCACTATCAATATGTAGTATGATTCAAAAGGTGAATAGTGCAAGCTTTATCTCAAGTATAGCTATCTTGAATCACTGCCAAGTGTTGAAGATGCAATAAATATCTAATAAATTTCACATATTTCAGTATGCTGAAGATATGAATCGGATATGTTAGTAAAACTTCATCCTTAAATACAATTATCCTTCTTTTTATAAATTCTAAAGATTTCATACATACCATAATAAGATTTTCCTGCATTAATCAAGACAAAAAGTAAATTTGTTGAAAGTTACATAGAATCGTTTACTAATTCTGGAGCAAGTTTTGCAAGTATTGATAATTTTTTATTGCATTGGTGGATAATAAGCTAAGTAAAGACCAGGATGACCAAGCCATACAATTACTGAGCAAATAGGCCATCATCTATTACAATGTATTTTAAACTCCCATACGGAATAAAAATTGCATTTTTAGATTTTTTAGAATATATTACGTAGCATGCAAATGCCCATCAAAAAATAATTCAAGGACATTTTGAGATATTAATTTTTTTGTGGTAAACTTCAGGTATTGGTTAAGCACCATAACAAGCACGAGCTAATCATATACATAAAATGTTATTTAGCAAAATTCAACTTAAGCAAATAACATTACAGCTACTCTAAGCTAGAAGATCACTATTAGGATAAACATTATTAAAAGTTCTTACTTGTAACAATTATTTACTACCATTGCCAATTCGACAGTTCATTTCAGATGACTTGACAAGATTTTTATGCCACGCAAGTCAAACTCTAGTACATTGTTAGACTAGTTGTATCAACACCAACTTTGATGATTTATCTTTGTTAAGTCGTAAAAAGAATAACGTTGCATTACCTAATCTCCTATTATTATAATACCATCTATAGGTAGAACTTTATGATGACTTCTTTTGCGACAAGTTGATTTTGTCTCCCAAGCTTAATGCCATACCCTATTGAGCAACATGCGCAAAATTTTCTTACATTGTTTGTCTCTTTTGCAATAGACCTTATTGATATTAAAATTATGTGCGCATACATAAAAAGTATGTTAAATTTTTACCTGACTTTTAGCTCTGATTCGAATATGACCAGTAACAGGTGTTTCAGACTGATCAGCTGTTCTCTCAATGCTTACATTAGCTAAGGCATCCTCGCCAAATATGCTCTTTGCGTACAGATTTGCAGCCAAAAAACCGCAATCGCCTTTTAATGCCTACATGATAAATTGCATAAATTGAATGGATGATGCAAGAGCATAAACTTAAACATATGTAACAACTGACTTACCGTATCTGAAGTCAAACACTTCATATTTGTCGAGGCAATAATATGGTCGAGATATTCCTGTATGTCAGTAATATTCGAATTAACAGTAACCTATATATTTTAAAAACGAACTATTCGTTAGTCATTGAGAACAACATATAGATCGTCATTCATTCTTAATCCACAACCTTGTTTTCCCATTCAAATTCCGCCCACATTTGACGAAATTCAGTATCAGTGCATGTTGCTGGCATAATGTAGTCCATAATATCGATATGTATCTCATTAAGTACGACACAGTTGCGGTCATGTGCCGTTCCACTAACATCATACACTAAAAATACACAGGTAAACATTAGCCAAGTTATTTTAGTAACTGTAACGCAAGCTCAACGAAATCGGTAAAATTGTTTAAATGAAAAATTACCAATATTTCCAAAAATTATTCCGTTCTCAGTAGAAGCTACTTTAATATTTGCCTGGATGAATTAAAAAATACATTAATAGGTGTTGTGATCGAACAATGGTCAACCCTACGTTTGTCATACTTTGATATTACAGAAATCCCGTGGTGCTATGGTAATTGGAACAGGTTTCTCGACGAGTTTTAAATCACCTGCAGCATAATAAAATGATTTAAATTTTTATTTACTAGAAATTGCTACCACCAACTATAATTTTTACATAGTTAGCGTAAATTGCTAAAGATCTAGAAATTGTCATATGTTACCTAACGTAGCTAATTCAAGGGTAGTATTTTGTAACGTATCTCCAGTTTGATTTACAATTAGTACATCCAACACAATATCGTACTGATTAACATAAATATAAGCTTCAGCATAAACAGGATCAGAAAAGCCAGTTAATTGATGAACCTGAAACAAATAGCAAATGCTTAATAGCAGAAATAATAGAATCATTATGTACAACATTAGTTATTTTTACGCAACCTTGTTCAATTGGGAGTCAAGTGGATTATCTTTCTTAGTTGTAGTACTGGTTAAAGCTTTTGAAAGACTCTCTTCAAATTGATTCTACAATTAGCCGAGGACAAAAAGTAAGACGATCATTACAATTATTGCAAGTTGAAAATGTTACTGTTAAATGTTTATGAATACCTCGCCTAAGTCATCTTCAGATGGAGCAATGATACTCATAAATGATATTGGATCATCTGCTTGTACACGTACAACTATTTCGTCAAGATCCTAAGAAGAAGCATTATATCATCTTGAGATTTTAAGCATTAAAAATTAGATAAAAGCTACTAAGGAGGAGGTACCTCTGGTTTATCTTCTTTACTGTCTGATTGATTAGCAATCATTTCTGATAAAGATTTTCTACACTCCTTTGTAAATATATCCATCATTAAATCACTTGGTGTTGATAAAACTGATATGCAAACCGAGATTCGATCAAAATCATCATCATTGATAGCCTGCAAAATAAAAGTACATTTAGTAACATGGCTAACATCAAATTTGCTACCATTTAATAAAGAACTTTAGGAAAATTAAAAAATGTACCTTTTTCGGTAATCCAGATTTACCGAGATGAAGAATACCCGCCATGTACAGCATAGCGCTAGCAGAAAATCGCTAATAAAGAAGAGTAGATTAGTTTGTAATGGCAATTGTAAGACTGTGGAATCAAGATTGCACAGCTTAAGCGTAGAAAACTTACGTTCTTTCTAGCAGTATCTTCACATAATTTACTGTAGCGTAAAGTTAGTTTAGTTAAAGTTGTAGCCATTGTTGCTCCAACGAAAAATTCACCGTCCATCAAGTATTCTCTCAATCGTGGACTATAGTATGAAATTAATATGTTTAAGTTGAAATAGTTTAATATTTAGAGCCATAATATTTAAGGATCCACATAGCCTATTAATATACCGTAATTCCTTTTTCGACGATAACGCACTAATAGCTGCTTGGGTAGCGTAAGAACCATCGGCAGTAACTAAATTTTGACCAGAAGATTGCTGTGCAGTTTCTTTAGTTTCACTTTCTGAAACTAACGTAGAAAATAGTATACATATTCTGCAAATATTTTCAAAGAGATATGAAGCTATAAGATAATAATTTTAAATAATTTATAATATCGGTTACCATCACTGTCAGTTGCCATCTTCAATTCACTATCAACTAATGGAACCTGTATAAGTGTAGATGGGTTTATTAGATAGTGTCTTATTGTTAAAGCACTCTAATTTGGGTACAATACCACTTACATCACCAAGGCCTTTTTTAATTTCATTCATCACTGACTCACATTCTTCCTGTGTATCGCAGTACTCACCCAACAACCAGATAGCTGCTCTATGAACACTAAATATGTAAATTCAATAATATTTAGCAACTAATTTATTGAATAAGTTGTGTTAATATTCGTAGTGTACCTAGGGGTGCGTATAACTTGAAAGGAATCAAGAAGCATATTCATAACTAATGGTTTGATATGTTGGAATTTCTGCATAGCTTCTCTCATGAAAACCAGGACATCATTTCCAGCAACTTCATCGCCGTCACCCAAAAATTCTACCAACTACCATTGAATTTATCTGTTAGTAAATACTTTTTAAAATCTGTTATTGTCATAATCAAGCTTTACCAGTGGTATGACGGATTCAGCAACTTCAGGGTATTTAATGCTACAGGTATGCAGCGTACGAACAAGTAACTATAAAAGGTAACAGATTTTGTACAGTTTAATTTTAATATCGATCCATTAAATTATAAGACGGGAAAAATTAATAGCGTACATGACGGTATTTAGCAGCATCTTCTTTTTCAGTCGCATTCATAGTTTTCGTTATTTCTTTTTTCAACATTCCAACCACCTATTCAATGATATCAATATTTAGAATAGTTCATTAAGGAAATTATAATAACAAATTGTTGAAATATCACGTTAAAATTGCATACCTCCTCAATAGTTTTCGGAGTGATTAGGTCCATAATCAACTGTAATGTCTTCTTTCGTACCTCCATATCTGGAGCGTTAAGAACTCTCAAAATGTCCATTGTCAATTCCTAATTTAACAGCAACAATTGTGATAAGAGTCATGAACTTGACATAGCGTTGCTTCAAAGCGCTAACAAAGTCATTTTAATTGACAAATACGTAAATGATGATAAATATAGTATAAACCTGAATAATCTTGACATAATTTGGATTCTTTCGTAATGAATTTAATTTTTCCAATACTATTAATTTAACGTTATTGTCACTTTCTTTAACAATTAATTCGATATAGCATGATGCTGCAGCCTAGAAATATAATATTATTACGTTAGCTTTCACAAAAAATACTACTTTTATTAAGATGATAGGGAAAGGAAATTTACCCTAACTGCTGTTGGAGCTGATGATAATGTTACTAATGTTCCAGCAGCTTCATAACGGACTGCGGCAGAATTTGAATTCAACAAATTATAGATACAGCGAATAAATCGTGTTCGTTGGCTAGGATTGCTATGACAAACCTAAGAATAAAGTTGGCCGTAAAATCATTTCCGTAATACTTATGAATATTGATAGCCTAATTGTTAATCTATAATTTCATGATCAAACCTTATAAACGAGCTCAACAATAATTAGCTGAAGAATATCGCCAAAACTTCCAACTTGATCTATGCAAGAGCTTAAATACTCAAGGGCACGATCCTTAATTTGAATATGAATCGTACAATAAGGGGTATTATTGTTAGTATTATTGTAGTTGTGATTCTAATTTCATAAAATATCACTCTGACTTTTCATGATAAGCACTAGAATATACTGTATTGCGTTGCATAAGGTTGAAATTACACACCTGATCGACGTGTATTAGCATCATAAAAGCATTTCGTTTGCATGAAGCATCTTGTTCTCTTTCCAAAAAGTCGTGTACCAATTCAGGTGCGTCAGGAATGAGATAGTCAAAATTGCTATCCAAAAGAATTTTAGAATGTTAGTACAGCTATTTCTGCTAGCATTCCTTAGGAGTATTCTTGAAAATTTAATTTACGATACGCTATTCATCCTTACCGAAAAATAGTATATATCGCCATGACTGCATTACGCCTGACGTAAGCATGTCTGTGCTCTAAACAAGAACGTATTGTAGGCATCAAAGGCTCCAGAAGCTCTGCTTCCTAATCACCAGATTGTTGATATGACATAACGTAAAACATTAGAACGCATAAATACGCTACTTTTTCAGTTATTATCTTTCTACGAAGACAGCATAGAGCAGGTAATCATTAACACTATTCTCTATGCATTATATCTGCATCAGTGATGTCGGAATAAGAGTACTATAAATATAAGACTACATTAGGCCTATGGTAGGATTAACAATAATTAAGTTATGTAGCATGATATTACGTAGCTGCAATACCTTCAATTTACATAAAAATCTAAGAGTAGATCCTCGTACGTATTCGTTTGGATGTTGTAAATCCTACAAAAAGAAAACAAACCGTCATCAATATGAAGCAAAGATACTGTATAACATTACCATGTACTGTAATGCTATCACTGTATTAAGCGACTTTTGCACTCATTGGAATTTGATAACAACTGAATACATTGTAGAAAGGTAACAATTTTCAACATCTTTTCCTTAACAATATAACATTAGAATAGAGCTTCATTGCTAAAATTTCTTAAATTACGTTTACAAATACAATAATGAAGAAAATGAAGCTTGGATAATAACTTACTTTTCTATAAGCGTCGCAAACTAATATCATTTCATGTAGTAATTTTCCATCTGGAGTAGTCTTTGGCACAATTTCCCAATACAATAAGAGTAATTTTTTAATTTTATGATCCTGGCTGGGCATAACAAATCTCATGATAACCATCAGTAAATTGGGCAATCTTTCACCACTGAGAATTAAATTGATGATCTTCTTTAAAGCCCGAATTTTTGCTTTGGTATCATTTGATTCTAAAGATTACGGAAAGGATATTACTACTGATATCAATTTCTAGACAATTTACAGTACACTCTTTTATAGCAAAAGAATGAAGTATAATCGCTACTAAAGTGAGAATTAGTAATTATTTCAATTTATGGAAGTGATTGATTGATTGATGGTTGCAAAGTATCCGTTTGCATTGAACCGATTTGGCTACCATACTGCTGTTGATATTGAATCATACATTTACGATGATGGAAAATTTCTATTTTGATATTATTATGAACTAGTAGACATTTAAAGACAGTAGCAATGCATGCTTCTATCTATCACGATTGTATTGATCATCTAACCAGTATGGCAAACAATACGTAACTCCTGTTATGGCTTTAAGACTAGTGGTAAAAATTACAGTATTAATCTGAGTGTTGTCGTGTAGAAAGTAGCAAAGATAATATTTCAAATGATCCATACGTAGGATCATTTGAAGAGTTTGGCTCGACAGTGCTATGACACTATCCTAGCCAACTGTATCGTCATTCAATTGCATGTCATAGACTGAAATTCTTGCGTAGCCAGATGAAAAGCAAAGTGGGTAAAAAGGCCCCACATTGTCAAAACTACTCTTTCAATCTTTTCTTCATACAACTGTTCATAAGAGAATGTTGCCTTCAGTCTCAATCCTTCTTCTTCTTTTACGTTGTAATGAGTATAAAAAAGGGTCGAATAGACAAAAATAAAATGAATCTTGCCATTGGTTAGACACAGACTCACTGTGACAGTCTTTATCATTGACTTTTCCTCTTTTCGTCCTGTCTACTCTACTTCATTACAACAGGTTAAAGCATAACCTACCTAACTCCTTCCGCAGTATCAGCTCACTTGGAGATTCAGAATCATTTTGGGAATATAACAGGGTATAACAAGGCAGTTCTGCCGACGAAGTCATGACTAACTAATTCTATCGGCCACGCTGGCAATGGAAGCCACAACGAAAAGATGCAACAGACACGTCGAAAGGGACAAAGATGGATGGTCGAGACTAGATCGTGCAGTGGGTGCCAAAGTGCCTGGCGTATGGGGAAAAAGGTATCGGAGCAGTTGGGTCTGTGTTTAGAAGTGTACTATAAGATAGTACATTTGTATGAGTTATGAAGAAGTGAACGGTATACAATAGTACTCAACGCCATCAGGGTCTACGGTACCGTCCTGTACAAAAAAAAATGACATTCCCTGAGACAGCGCGTGCTCGTGGCGAAACGATGACGTTTCTTTGCGCGTGCGTACTACACTGCACTTGGTCCCGACTTTTGTCTGTACATCTGTACGTCTAGATTATGGCTTCCATAGCTTGTTGTACAACGGACAGCAGTGGATCTAAGAAGGAAGACAGCTTAGCTCATGCAAGCTTTCGTCAATGGCGGGCGATTATTTAAGGATTAAAATCATTGTTATTAGCTAGACAATTGCATATCAGGATCGATAGACCTTGATGTAAACTATCTCTTCTAAACTTTATGATATATCAAATACAATATCTAAGTATATATATATATACTGTAGTACAGTACAGTAGGTACTAAACTGTAGTTTAGAATATAGAGTGCATATACTCTATACGTAAAATATGTAATATAGTATCAGCACGATACGCGTATGCCTCCAATGAAAATGAAAAGCTCATACGTATATGCGCCAGCTTGCGGTCAAGGAAAACTATCGGATTGTGTCGTGTGATAAAATAGCTCAATTTTAAATTCTGAATGGAATATTACAATTTATACACGTGAATTGCAATTAATATTTATTAATACCAGTGTAAAATACAGTATTTCATTCTTTGTTATACATTACAACAGTAAATTACCGTCACTCATTTTGCCCATATTGAACTACCGTATACTGTACAACATTCATTTCATTTTATTGTAGTATAAAACTTCTAGAGCCGACTAGTTTTTTTTACAAGATTTAAAGGATATATATTATATCTTTCAAGAAATACCATTGTTAGTACAATCGAATTAGCATAACTCATGGATCATACCTCTGCTTTACTATCTACAATTTGTTAAATATTGAACGCGCTATTAAATATAACGCGACAGCTAGTACAGCGACCTATCACATCAGTAAACATATACACAGTCGATCTACATCAAAGCATACATCTTTACAGGAAAAAGTCCTTTTGGAAAATTTTTCTGAAATTCCTGCCTTAATATCGTTAAACCTGCTTTATGAAAGATATTTTGCATTGCTAATTCAGTTCTAGTTACACTAGAATCCTGTAAGTCTACTTCTTCAACAATACCACACGTAACATTTTCTTTAATAAATATTAAACCATGTGAGTTTAAACCTTTCTTGCATCGTGCTAGAAATGCAATTAAATCATCATCCGTTAAATAGGCCAATACCCATTGGCACCATATCACATCATATTTTGCAGGCTCCGGGGTAAAATCCTGTAAGCCACAAGCAAATAATTCGCCGACGCGATGATCTTTGGTGGATACTGCAGATTTTTTAGCTTCAATAAGAAATTCGCCATTTTGATCAATCAAGTCAACGACTTCAAACCATTTTAATAAGAGTCCTTTTGATATCCTGCCTATACCTTTGATAGATATGCCAAAAAAGAATTAGTAATGGTTTCCTTCAACGAATGATCAACATATGAATCTAAGAAGATATGCAGTAATTCATTCGCAGTGACCTTGCTAGTGTAGAAAGGTATTGCAACTAAATGATAGAGTGATGATTGTACAGTGCACAGTCATTAGTAACAAGAAGTAGCTCAGATAAGCTAAATCTATGTTGAGAATCATGGTAAGACTCGATGTCTTAACGCTAGCTCAACCTGTCATGGCTGTAACAACACGAACTATTGTATGCTTCATTGCAATAAAGTTTGCATCAATGCAATAAAGTACTGTACATAGCTATNTTGTATCAATCTGAACATGTATATAGATAATTGTTCCTAGGATACGAGTCTCTAATATACATGCACCGTATATATAGATATGTAAAAACATACATGCACAAACATACAGCTACTGTATATTATGTTGTAGACACGTAGATATACATACACGTATGTACAGTATATCAATGGCAGATGACAACACTGTTAGCTGCCGATAGTACAGTATGCATTAAATAAATTATAGGCAAAATTACTTATATGCCACAGCATATTTTCGTATTTACTAATATGCCACTGGAAACTTCAGTAATTGCGCACGCGTAGTGGTATATCATGATACAAAGTACTGTTACTAGAGTATATATACAGTGTATAAAGTACAGTAAATCGTTCTATACACTACTGTACTGTACAGTACAGTAGTACGGACAGTGCGGTACTGTACCTTAGTGCAGCCATTAGCTGCACCGTACGGTATAGTACGGTAATAAGGCTAGTACAGTTACTGTACTGTAAATTAGGTTAAAAATGGTGATAAGCATGGACTGAGAGTGCGTAGATCGTGTCATGACTATAATGGCATATTAGTAAATTACTGAAATTTCCAATGGCATATTAGTAATTATGAAACTATACAGTGGCAAATCAGTAATTTCGTCTAAATTATATATTAACACCTTACCTGCGCCGCAATCTAATGCCTGCTTGAATTGGGTCTCCTTACTATAATCTGATATTGTATCCAGTAAAAATCGTCGAGAAGCGAATAGATCTGTCTTCGATATCTTTCCAAAGCCACCCAGCATACCATCGACAGTGGAAGGCTGATTCTGCCAGTAGGTATCAGCTATTTCATACCAATTGTCGGAATCTTCTATTTCTGCATTTTGCAACTTCAAATCCATTATGCTGGAGCAGCTTCACCAATGATGCCTAAACTGCCTTTGCATGTGCCAGGAATTTCTATTAATTCTATTAATTAATTCACTCCTACTTTCAAGTCCGACTTTATCGGTAAATTGCTCTCTTTACCTTCAGGCATACAGTACAGTACGTACTGTAGAGTCTACGCTAGACAGTACTGTACTGTACAGTGTAGACGCATCGTGTACTCTCTTGGATAGGACGGACAACAGTACAATACTACAGTACATACGGTACAATGTACAGTACATTACCAAACCGCATACTGTATACTGTACACTGTACAATACAGTTGCGGTTGCGTACAGGATCGAAAGCCCAGTAAATCGCTAAGCAAAAGTAATGTCATTACTACCAAAGATCATACTACTAGTTGGACCATGAAACTGCTACCATGGGTGACATTCATTTTTAGTACTACATTGTAGTACCACTGTTTACACTAGTACTCCACGTTCTCAGTTGTGTGCAACAGCTTTTATATAAGGTCTCGACTAGTGTATACGATACATATGTCCAACAGCAGAGAATAAACGATCCATACAGCTGTATTAGTGTAACCGCTTTCACGCTGAATCTCCAAGGCAGTTTTTTTTCCAGGAAAAGCGATAGGAAAATGTTGCCTCTCCGAGCATCTTTACGCCAAAGTGCTTCAATATTGCGCTATATGCGCGGTATTTCGCCTATGGTTGCAAGATCTGGTAAGTCTTGCCTTGTGATAGTATTTGTTATAGGTTATAACCGTTCGTTATCAATGATACAGCGCACCGACTGCATAAAGAGGGCACAGCCACCATATTGGCTTCCAGTCTGTCTGCTTTATTAGTATTCATCATGGCGCTTGATGAAGAAACACCTTGCGTTCATTTAACACTCTGTCATGAATATTAAATAATTCTTTTTTTATTGCATGCGATAGTTGATCCAATATTCTTTCGACCTTGTTACTCTTTAAGTAACGATATTGACCTGTTTCGACGCTTGCAAACGATTAAAAAAATAGCTGTATTAAAATTATTTAAAACTTCGTTTCGAGTTTCGTTTACTTGGACGTAAAGTACTGTAGGCCTGCTTCGTTTCCCTAGATAGATTCTGCTCTATTGCTTGAAAACAAACTTTCAAGGATTGTAATTGCAAATAGTGATTGTCACTCGATGTATGTTGTAATTCTGTTGTAATATAGAATAGATTACTGTACTGAATAAGTTTCAAACACAACATTGCTCTGCTCATAAGTAACATCAACAGTCGACAGTCAGACTTTCCTGAACAACCATACAGTAATTCTCCGTATTTTATTAGATGATGATATTATTCATAGTATTATCGGTAAAACATTGATTAACGGAATATTATTTGGATGGTAGCACCTATTAGTTCTAGTATTGTCAATCGAAGACCCAAAGAATACATAGCCTACGATTTAGAAAGCTATCCCAAGGTAGAGCGGATATCAGCACAACGCTTGCCTCCTACAGGATATTGGGACGAGCAAGACAGAAGAGATAAAGAGACACCTGTAAGTGGATTGAAAATTTTATCTTGCTACAGCTTATCTTCATAACTAGGCTGAGAAATGGTACATCTATTGCATGGAACTGTAATAACGTATTCATCTTTATCCTGCTACTACAGTATAGAGGTGCACGTAATAGCTTATTGCTGCAAAAGATTTTTTCAACTACCAAAAGTCTAATCGACAGCATTATACGATATACACTAACGATATACTTACGATTTAAGATAGTCCAGTATAAGCCGGTTTACGGAATTCCGTTATATACCTTTTGTAACCAATTCTATCAGAAATGTATTTAGTGTTGAATACTACAAGTAGATGAATACCATAGATTTTAACAACGCAATTTCTGAATGGGCTTCAATTATTGCTACGTTTTGACGTGTTGATGTTATACAATGTAGTTACATGAGGACGATGATCTCTTAACAATGTGGATGGTGGATGAAGTCTATCAACAAGATCGTTATACCGTGTATGTAAATTGGAATAACATTTTCGATAATTCAATTCTTGATTATTAACTGAATTGGAATTATCTACTGATTAATTTCTGTCAATGATGCTCATAAAGTCAGACGGTAAATTATTATATCAATACTGCAGTAAACAGATCTTGAATGAAGCTAGAGATTTGATAGATAAAAGATTGCCTTTAATCCATTTCCAATACGGAGACTATAGTTAGATACTTTCGTTAAGTTGTAATAATCATAGAATCTTATCAAGAACTCATCCCTACCTATTGGTATGTTTCAATTAAAAGCTTTCCTTTAACATTTCAGTTGGCAAGCATTGGGACAGTTGGTATTAATGCTTAGCCTCTTGGGTGGTGTATTTGCTTACGCATGGTGGCTAAATGTCCCTGTTACTCAGAGACATGCTGTATGTTCATGGTTATATTTGTGTACTCTTTTCTTTTTATTCTATAAAATGGTCTACGATATAATTAGCTGCATCGTGATGATCTTACAATAATATAGTATGTGTATCTGTATATCTCTTAAATAGAATACTTAGGAGAGTATAACATATATCTACTGTAGGTACCCAAGCGATATCCTGATTTATATCTTGAGCTTGGAGGGGATCCGAAGAAATTGCAAGAACAAAAGAAGGAGCAATGATTCAAACATGTTATCCTTATTCTTATCGTATAAGATGACTGTTCCTAAAACAAGGTTACGAATGCCTTTGGATCGCAAGAAATGTGGAGTAAGCTTACTAATTTTTGACCGTTGGAAATATTACACAGATGTTACCATATATCTTGCCGACAAAATGTATCATTTATCTCTTTTGCTGAAATTTAATGTAGTTATAATTTTTATATCTATAAGCAACACTAAATGCTTGTTTCGCTTACTGTCTGGCTAGTGTATGCGGCCTACAGTGCAATGAAATTTTATTGATACTATATGGAATTAAATCGCTGATTAATTATACTATCAGAATAAATCTGAAAAAAATTATGCAGGGATAAAAGTACTCAATTTTATATATGTAAATAGGAGTATTCACTTTGCAGATATACTATACAAGCATATAAAAATATGCTGCTCATGAAGATATTATCAAAAATGGAATTATACAAGGATCTGCGAACACTGTAACATAGGTAGAGCTACCAAAGTTTCCATAGAATTTATTAGTGCCGTACGCTATACTTTCTGGTGAAGAAAATCATATTCACATTGATACCATAGATGACAGGGCTCAAGCATTTAATGTTTAACGAAATATCGGAATTGAAATATTGATTAGTGCAAGCATACAAGTACATGAACAAATATATTCAATTGGTACGACATACATGTCGTACTATATCTCTAACAGCTTGTTAGTATAAGTCATACATGTGTTATAGTAAAAGAGACATGAATAGGAAATGTCCTAGAATCTGACATTGACATAATGTACATAGAGTCCTCTATTCTTTCTCAATATTTTATGCTCCTTTATAATGGTAATATTAACTATTGCCCAATACTTGGATTCAGCTGAGTTTCATAATGTACCCTACAGTATGATAAGTTTACCGATATAAGGTAGAACAATCGTTCAATCCTATAGTTACATAGAATAGGACATGCTGTATTATCTGACTTTTGAACCTGTACAATGATATTCAATGTATTGCAACTAAATTTTTATCTTTAATTGAAAGATGCAATTAACGAATCCATTTTTACAATATTCTTAAAACAAATAAGCTGACAACACTTTTAATTATACACTCAGCTTCATGTACTGTATATGAATACTCACGTAAACATAAAACAATCTAAATTGAGACCGATTTCAAGCAAATTTATAGCGAATAAGCGGATTACAGAATTTGATCAACTTAAAAGCAGTAATCTTTATACACTTAAGTTAGAGCAGATCTCCTTGGGCTATATACTCGCAAAAAGAGCTACATTATTTGCATAACTTTGGCTTCACGTATCATAATATCAGCCACTGTCCACACTGTGTATCGTTTCGTCTAATTGTCATACTCTATTACACCCATCCTTTAATACGAGTATATATTGTGCTAGATATTTATCGTACCAACTTGATCTCTACCATGGCTAACTGAAAAGCTTCAGCTTACTGACACGATACATATCTTACCATCAATCAATACATTTTCCATCTTACTACAATAAAACATTAAATTGTTAATAGTTCTACAAAATCTATACCTCTTAATCAATAAATGAAACAATTGTAATGGGTTCCTCTTCAAATTTATAAGAAATCAAATTTTTTATTTCTTTGTCAGGGCAAATGTTGTCAAGTACATATATATATATATAAAAAGACTCTAGTAGCATTATAACAAAAGTAATACGTTCTCCCAAAATTTCAAAAACTTTTTTGATATAAAATGCAGAGTAATTAGTTACAATATTGAGCCGCTACCATAATGCTAAAACTATGGTACATGATCAAATCGTACCCATTAGTATAGGCAGTGAGAGATTGTCTACCAAAGTCTACGATACGCTAATTGAAAACTGTTTAGCGCAAATGGATAAAAAATATCGCGTCAACAGATATCAGTAAACGTACGGATGTTAATAGAATTTAAAATAACAATCATTACAAAATCGTTATCCTTTTTACAAAGTCAATTAGATATTCTAATCGCGCGTTCGATCATTGTATTGTAATAGTTGGCGATTGTATAATACAAAACTATTCAATAGTATATCGCAATCCAATTGTTGCCCAAAGCAACAAACGCTATCACGCTCTGACAATAACGGAAATATTATAAAATAGTAAGTAATACATTATTATAATACAGTAAACCTGTGATTAACATAAAAAATTATAAATGATTTATATAGCCAACCATAACATTGCAATTTTCAATTGTCCCTATACATTTCCTTTTTCTCTCTGTTAATACAGGTTAGTCAGATCTTGATAAATGTATCCTTATGAAATTCATCATGTATGACAGTAAACTAGTTTCACATTTGTTAATTATTTGACAGACATGGCATTCAATAAGCTATCCCACATAGATGACTACAAATTTTTTGATCTACAAAAATGTTAAACTCTAAACCACAGATCAACGGGCGGTTAAAACAAGACAACCAAGGATAGATGACACTATTCGAGCGCCATCCAAATGACAAATAACATATAACTAAGATATTGATGTAGGCATGGATACTGTAAAATGACAAAAAAATTTTTATTTTGCGGGAGAAAGCTTGCTAATAACCCGGATTAGCGCACTATTCTCATCTTTCATTCTCTTATTATCATTTCTTAAAGTTTCGAGTTCCTGTATAATAATAATGTAAATAATTTAGTTTAATATATATTAAATCAGATACTTACAAAATATAGGATAATCTTATACAACTTTCAGAAAAATTTTCCGCTAGGAATAGCTAAGCTATTATCGTATATACCTCAATTGAAGCACCAGAACCAGATGATTTTTTAGCAAGTTCTTTATTGATCTAAATTTAGGAAAACGGCAACATTAATCTAAGATAAAAGTGTTGAAATTTTTCACAAGAATAATATTACATCTTTTTCATGTTGCAGTCGTTTCTCCAAGTCTTTATGACGCTATTTTAACAAAAAAGAGAATCTAAGTTAACACAGAACAAAGAATAAAACTTAGAGTCATCTGTTTTACCTCTTTAAGGTCCTGATAACTTCTTTCAAGTTCCCTGTTAGACTACAGCAGAAATAACATATAAATACAAGCTACGGTGATGCAAATAAGGAAATTGACAGTTTAGCCGCTGCATAGTATGTTATTCATTTAAAGTGCTCTACCTCTTTTTCTTTTCTTAAATTTCTATCAGCCGTTGTCATCTTTAGTCTTAACTCTTCTGCAGTCTATTTTAGGAAGTATCGCAAACTTTAACATATATTGTGATTAATAGGAATATTCCACTATGTAGCTATACCTCTTTTTCCCTTTTCAAATTTCTATCTGCCGTTACTAATTTTAGTTTTAACTTCTCCGTAGCCTGATTTTAAAAGTTTTCATGCATTTGAGTAACATGTTGGGAAAGACGTTAATAAAATCGATAAAACAGACCGTATGGAATATCCTACTTACGTTCTTCTCATCTTTACGAGATGAATCATTTTCAGAAATAGACTTTTGTAGATTTTCACATTGCTATACAATACAATATAATAGATTTAGTTAATAGAGAATTAATCATTTTAATAATAATTTTTATCTCATAATAAATTTAAAAATACATACAAAATTTAACAGTAAACAATACGTATATCACCAAGAAAGTACTAAGTTTGATTATAGGCTTGAATAGAAAATACCCAACCTGAGTCATCTTTTCTAACTTGACTTTGTAATCGTTTAATTCCAGTTGCAATGACTGACATAAGTCATTTAATTTTCTAATTTCGTCTTTTTGTTCATCAATTAACTAATTCGTGGAAAATGATTCATATTTAAAATAATTAAAATCGATACATTAATAATATATATTAATAATGCTACTGCTTAATTTAAAACCTTCGTCTTTTCTATCGATGAATCACCAGATAAGGATTCACTTGGGACCTAATGACGCATACATTAACAAAACAATATTAACCTCGAAACTTTTCCAAGCAAAATAGACGAAAAAGGAGTATAATGTAGAACATACCAGATTTGTTTCTGAATTAATTACGCTATTGTTCTTCTCGCTATCTTTGTCTTCATCACTCTAGCAACGGAAATATTAAATTTTTCATGACAACGAACGCTTTCACGGTTCCGCATGTAAGTTATGTTCTAAGATTTTTAAATACTGCAAAGTAAAGTACTTCAAACATTATAATGAAACCACGGATTTACCTCCAAAAAGTCCCTATTAAATACAGCACCAGTTACCCTTCTTTTATCTCGTGTCCGACGCTTCTTTCTGCCAGAAGATTGATCATCTCCTTTATTAATGCTGTCTTCAGCAGATTTAGGATCTAGCAGAGAGTCGTTATGGGACATTTTTACGCTTTTCGGTGTCAGTTGGGCATTGGAGTCATTTAATTTTGGAGTTAGAGCATCACCAGTTTTAGTAGCAGATGTACTTTCTTTCTCAAGGGCAGCATCAGCCTTACTGTTATCGCTAGCTGACTCATCAATTGTAAAACTAACTTGCCTCTCTGGCTTAAAAGGGTGAGTTTTTCCTTTACTATCATGCAATTCACTTTTCTTCAAATCGGATCGATCCCGTGGTGTATCCCTTCTAAAGTCCAATTTAGGTTTGTCTTGTTCATCATTGTCTCTTCTAAAGTTTAATTTTCTGTCTCCCAATAGTTTAGTCTTACTGTCATTACTACTTTCATATTTATCGGTTACTGCCGAACGTGCTGTTGCCTAATAAGATTACAGTAAAACAATCGAATGCAATAAAAATTAATCATATTATCTAATCGAAGTAGTTAATTAATCCATGATAGAATTTAAAAATTAAGAAATACAACAAGGCCTATTTATTGCCATCAATTAAAAAGTAAAATCCACTCAGTTTACTTACAGGCCTATCTTTATCTTGAAGTTTAGATTTTCCAGTATCACCACTTAATGCTACGTTACCATCTGAGACGCTATGGGACATATTTTCCTGAGTTTTACTGCTATCTGTATTACCAAAGAGTTTAGATTTCTTAGCGGTAATTGAGTTGTCTCCTTCAACATTTTGATCTGAGGCACTTAACCGATATTTTCGGCCAGTTACAGATTCTTTCTCTTTTAGGCTAGGTTGATTTTTTTCTAGAAGACGTGAACGTCTATTAGCAATTGAATCAGAAGTATCATTTGAAGAATTACTACCGGAGAAACGGGATCGAAGATTACCAAACGATGATGTAGACGATGACGATGACGTCGATGATGCATCATCTTTTTTGTCAGTAAATCGAGACCTTAGACTACTAAAATCGTTTGAATCAGACTTTCCAGTAGTGCGACCTTTCCTACTAGA